AAGGCGGCTTCTTGAGGCGTGCTGCCTTCCCGCGCGCAGGCCAGCACGGACCACCTACACATCCACGAAAACTTTCACAGCCAAATAAACCTTTATATTATAAATTTCCGTCCACCTGCGCATTCAATAAACCTTTTCACCTCCAATTAAACCTTCAACTTATCGAATTCCCCCGTCAAATATGATGAAATTGTTAGAATGTATACATTTTATACATATTTTAACGTCTTGAAGAATGAATATTAAATTTGACCTACCAAGATACAACTTCACGTCTCCTCACAAACCTGACTTGCATTATAAAATTATGTGTATAAAATTAAGTTGGTGCATGACCAAGTATCAGTATATAATATACCAAGAAAATATGACTGTTTTACAAAATATAACGCCACTGATAATAACTTCAAATTTGTTGCTGCTTGAACGAGATTCCCCGCCCAGCAAAAGTGGTTCCTAAGAATTTACGAGGAAAATTGTAAAATTTTGTTTATTTTGCTTCAACGAAATCAGAAGTTGCCAACATAGGGTATAGACGTCTATCCTGGGTAACGTGAAAACGCTGTGCACTAGCCACCAAAATTCCAATTAATTCTTACTTCGGAAGGTGTTTTGTACTTTTGCAACACATTTAAACTCACCATTTGTTATTTTCAATCGCTGCATCGTGCTCTCCTGGCACTTTTTCTCCATGACCCTCTTCAATTCCGTGTCTTCTAAAGGAATCACGTTTCTCGCTGTTGGAATCTTTAGTTAGTGTTGCAACCTTAGAGTTGAGCTGCTCTCTAGTTCCATGTCTTTTGTACGATTCAGGTTCTCCGCTTGGAACATCTTGGGAAATGAGCGAATTGTACAGCTTCGTAAGAAAAGGCACAGGAAATCCGCTGAGGACGAGATGGTCGCTCTGCGGGTCCAGCCCCCCCCACAACGGCCGGGTCGAGGGTGGCGGGGTGCTCCAGGGTGCGGGGGAGGTCGAGGTGGGCGTCTCCCGGGGCGGGCAGCGCCGCGCCCATCGCCGCCCCCCCGCGCACCAGGGCGCTCAGCAGGGCGCCGTCCACGTCCCCTCGCACGGAGCGCCACGAGGGCTCCAGGGCACGCAAGGGCACCAGACGACCCTGCACAGTACACGCTCTATGAGGCATTCCCAGGGCTAGACATCTTCACTCATACTACTCATTTCCTTCCCCAGGGCGCCGTCCACCTACCCTCACACCGAGCGCCACGAGGGCTCCAAGTCACGCAAGAGCATCGGACAACCCTGCACAGACACACACGCTCTATAAGGCACTCCCCTGGGCTAGACATCGTTTTTTCGAAAACTGGTTTTGCCTTTTCTTTTTACTACACTGGTTTTCTGGCAAAGGAAGACCACTAGGAACAGAGGAAGTTTAAAGAGACAGTAGAAATCATTAAAAATCACCAAAACGTGAATGCTGTCTGACGTGTCTCAACGAAACCTGAAAACTTATTTTTATCGCGTTGTCTGGTCGCGTAATGGGGCAGTTTCCGTTGCTCCTTGACGTCCGATACAAGGCAAATCCCTTCTCCCACCCCGCCCACGGGGACAGTTCCCGATTGGCCGATGATTTCTCCTTCATATTTGACGTGTTAGAAACGCGGATCCTTCCTGTACCATAACACTCGGGCACACGAGGCTAGTCTCAGCAGATTTTCTGGACTATATCCGCTGGAAAGACTTTAACAAGCCCCCCTGTAGCTCGGATTATTCTCTTAGCTATTTCCATTTTTCGCACACCTCGAGAAATTTCTGTTCGGTAGACATTACGCACATGACAGTAATGCCTAACCAATCCCAGGCGAAAAAGTTCTATGACGCAGGGATACAAGAATTGATTCAAGGAAAGGCTAATGTCTCAGTTGTGTTGATAATGTGGGAAGAAAGTGCGATATGGCTCTATCTGCGGCAATTATGTTTTTACAAGTTACTGCGATTTCTTTTTTGACTAACCGAGATTCGCCTCTTAATTCTACCACTCACCTGGAGAAGGAGAGTCTGGTCTATGAGTGCCTCTTGAGCCTCCATGTCAGGTGGTCCATTCTCCAGTCCTCCTCATCATTATCACATCTCACTTAAAAGGACACGCACCTTGGCAAGAGATGCGACACGCTGACGCTGCGGCGACGGCGGCGACCAGGCGCCGCGCCGCGCCACCTCCTCTCCGCGTCCAGGCAGCAGGAGTGCACGTGACCGGCGCCGGCACGCGCTCCTGCGCGGGCGCGGCGGCATGTCCCGCAACTGGCGGTTCGCCCACGTAGGCCAGCGGCCGGCGAATGCCTCGTCAGCACTGACGACCTTGGCCGCGCGGTGGCCCGCTGGCACGCGCGCAAGCCTCACGGCCACCGCCCTCTGGCCGCCCCGAGCGCCCTTCTCAGGGCGACGCAGTGCTCCGCTCGAAGCGCAGAGCCCGCGCCCGCGGCGCCCGCCCTGCTTGGCCAGCTCTCCACCACAAGCGATTCACTTCTCCAGAGCTCTTCTGTGAGCGGGGCGCCCGCGTGTCAATCAGAGCCGAGTGCTTGAGGATACCGCGGTAGTTAGAGAACAGGGAAACGCTTCGCGGCAAAGGAGCTCCAAACATTGCGTCCAGCTCCTGGCTGATAAGATCCTTCACGTCGTTTACGTGCGCTTGTTCGGAGAATACGCGCAGCCGTGGAAGAAACTCTTGCTGGTAGACATCTTTTAGTGGATCGTTGTCATACAGCTTCCATACCTGTGACGGATAATGCCTAATGTATATTTTCAAGTTGCTCACACATTTGAAGTTAGAAAAACAAGCAAAATATGCTTGCTAATATGATAATATACCATCCTTTCCTATTATTCTCAAATCTTCATTTCCAAAATACATTCCTTGATATTTTTTCTCCAATCTCAAAATACTTTTTTTGTAAATACGTCCCTTGAATTATATTCTTTATTCTTTAAATATTTCATTTAATGGCGAGAATTTACGTTGTCTATTCGCCACGCGCTCTATACTTCAGTAATGGAAATAGACATAGCAATACACGTCCATAGAAGCGCCAAACATTCGAGCCAGTCTGGGCAGGCAGCGGCACCGACTACATGACGCGCTAGCCGGCCCATCATACTAGCTTTGAAAGTAAATATTGCGTTATCTTGCCTTTTTTAATGATTCAGTACCTACTACGTTCACCACGCTTTAGTATACAGTTTATGCGCTTTTGTAACTCTGGTGATTTAGCTATGTTCTGGGAACATCTTCTGGTCGAAGGTGACGAGCATGGCAACTCAGTTATTTTCGCCGGACTATTTGAATAATTTTTGCCTTGTTAATGGTACAAGTGACATTATGAAACGTAATTGGTCCCAAACGAACTATTGTTTTTGCTACTATTTCGATTCGTTCCAATAGAAATTGTATATCTTCTGGATTATCTACATTCTTTCCTTGATAATGGATCTGCGACTTGTATATTCTCTATTCCCTCAATACTTTCTTCGGCAGTTACTATCTGTTCTCTAATTTCCCCACATTTCATGCTACCATTAATTGTTATATTACATCTACTAAATTCTTTCCTCGCATGTTCCCTTTTAAATAAATCCTCCATTCTCCCAATTAACTAGATGGTTTTCTACCTTATCTGATTGAATTACAAATCCCTGATTCACCCTGAATAATGCTACATACCTCTTGGTCCCTGTAGCCGAAGGAGAAGACGGTGTTGGGTCTGGAGGTATCGCCGGTGCGCAGGAGGTCCTCGAGTTGGAAGTGCAGGTGCGGGCCATCGGCTGCCTCCTTGCGGCGAGCCACGGGGCGATTGGTGTAAATGACCATCCGCACGTCGTCCAAACAACAATCGTGCAGCAGTTCGTCGTCTTTCGTCTTGAGATGGCCTGGAGTCATGTGTTTGCTTTCGAAATCGACGTAAAATTCAAAATATTTCGGTAAGCTGAAATCGCCCTTTGGAGATGTGAAAGCCTGAGCAGAAGAAAAAATAATAATTTAGTACATTTGGCACAGAGAATTTACCTAAGTGTTTACCGTACGTGCTGCACCGCCAGTGCGCATGAACTCGAGCTGTCTCAAAGAGTTAAGTGACTTTCAAGCAAATTATTAATACGTGTATTGACACTGGAGGACGCTGCAACAGTAATGTTGCCGAGTTTGAGCTGGATAAATGTGTTTAGTGGCGTTTCTGAGAGTGTTTCCGTGTGGTCATCAGAGTATCTATACCAAACCTGATAACGTGCTTGAGCTGGATGAAAATGTTTAGTGGGTTTGGGTCAGAGTATTACCTGTGTGATTACAGTAGGATCTTTACCAGTGATGGAATATTTGACATGGGTGCAAATGTCTAGAGCCCTTGCCTCATAGAATATACCTGTATGGTTACTTCCGGAGTTTCAATAGTGGTTCTGGAGTGGTTGAGGTCGATGGAATGGCTTAGTGTCACTGGATCAGAATATTTCTGTGAAGCAAGAAAGAAGCTGCACCAGTCCTGCTTGAGTACTTGAGCTGGATGAGAGTATTTAGTGGCATTGTCCCAGAGTATTACTGTGAGGGACGATTAGGTGCATGCACCAGTCTTGCTCGAGTGCTGATCTGGGTGAGAGTGTTTAGTGAGTATTTCCTGTGTGGTCACCGGAGGAGCCGCACAGTCTTTGTAGAGAGCTTGAGCAGTGTGAGTGTTTAAGTGAATTGTCCCAGAGATATTACTGTGAGGTGACGCGAGGAGCAGCACCAGTCTTGCTAGAGTGCTTGGCTGGGTGAGAGTGTTTAGTGAGTATTTACCTGTGTGGTCACCGGAGGAGCGCACCAGTCTTGTGAGAGCTGAGCAGTGTGAGTGGTTTAGTGGCATTGTCCAGAGTATTTCCCTGTGAGGTACGGAGGCAGCTCAGCTGCTTGAGTTTGAGCTGGAGTGAGAGTATTTAGTGGATTGTCCCAGATATTTACTGTGAGGTGACCGGAGGCGGGCAGCACAGTCTTGCTGAGTGCTGAGCTGGGTGAGAGTGTTTAGTGAGTATTTACCTGTGTTTTCACCGGAGAAGCTGCACCAGTCGTGCTGGCGTGCTTGAGCTGGATGAAGATGGTGAGTGGCTGTGCTTCAGAGCAGCACGAGGTCATCCAGGGGACGCGCAGCAGCCACATTCGAGAAAGTTGAAAGCGTAGGCCCTTTCTGCGCGCGCGCAGCGCCAACAGGCCGCCGAGGAAGATCTCGTATTCAGACCCGTATGGCTTTGCAGCATTTTTCAATCGCCCTAAGACGGGTGTCTCGGCACTGAAACAATATAAATCCATACTCAAAACAAAAACACTGAAATCATTTGTCAACTATGTTAAAATCAGCTACAAAGGGATCCTATTTTAAGTGACAATTTCTCAACGACGGTGCTCGTTATAATGTGCTTTTCTGAAAAAAAGTTCTTTTTTCCCTTTATTTTACGGTCCCTAGAGTAATTTATCGAAAACATCTCACAAGATTGAGATAGGCCTATGTGATAGTTGGAGAGCGCCGGGTTTCTCTTCACGAATAATGTCTCTAGGGGAGCTGTAGATTCCATGTGATGACTTCTTGGTGCATACAGATGACATTTGGGGAGAAGATGAGGTAACTCAACAAAACTATCCTCGACACAAGAGAACAACCTGTGCCAATTTCTTTCAACAGTTGCCTTCGAGTATAGTACGGAGAATTATGTACTATAGATAAGTGTATGTAATGTTGCGAAAAGTTGACGCGGAGATTTTTACGGGAATACACGTTTTAAGATCTCTTGATACCGTATAAGCTTTTTTACATTTTATTCAAATCTATGCGATTATATTTTCCTGTGAATCCGAACAGTTTAAAAAGAAGTACAAACAATATTTTCTTAAATTTCACTGGAAAAGCCTTTCCCAGAGAATATCGCTGAAGAGGGAGAGAGCGACGAATTCTGAAGTGAACAGTGGCTTCGAAAAAGAAGAAGTGGAAGAAGAAGAAGAAGAAGAAGAAGAAGAAGAAGAAAGGGGGGGGGGCTCAGAGCAACTGCAGCTGCCACTGTTGGAACACACAATGGGGAGTCAGAGCGTCCCAAGAAGACCAGATGAGCGCGAGTTCCATCGAAGTCATCAAAATACGGCCAGCAGAGGGCGCCTTTCAGGTTGCGCTCTCAAATATAAGAGTAGAGTCAGACCTACACCCAGATAACAGCAGGACTAAGATTATGGATATTCACAAAGCCTGACCCGGAAAGCTCCTGCTAGGACTTCGAGATAAATCCGAAAGCAGCAAATCCTTCAGGATTGCTTTAAAGGCAGCACTGGGGGAGGCTGGGTCTGTTATGCAAGGGAGACCGTAGGAAATTAGGGATCTTGACTGCGTGACCCCAACAGAGCAGGTCAAAGCTGGGCTCAGGAATTTCCTTAAGAACTCCAGAGGAGAAACACTTATTTCGGTGTCGAGCGTAAACACCAAAATGCATAAAATATCCCTCATTGAAATGGACGAACGAGATGCCAGGATCCTGCTACAAAATCCCGGTATAAAAATAGGGTGGATTGTATGCAACGTTCAATGATGACACTGTCTGGAGCTTACCTATTTTCCCAGGGAGTGTAAAGGACAGAACAGGAGCAGTATGTGCTACAAGTACGGAGAGAAGGGATACAATGATGTCTCTTTAAATACTTTTTAAGAAATTCTTAAGAAGCAAAGGGCGAAAAATCCATAAATTGTAAGCATTGGCGAGAAAGTAAAATCTAATAAATAATACGGTACTGATAGTGTTGGCAAACAAATGCAAATATATCGAAAAATTGTTTTTATTATTATTATCATCAATATTATGATGATTATTATGGTTATTATTATTAATACAATTATTATTATCATTATTATCATCGTCATCATTTTAGCTCGGTACAATCTCGTAGAGGGCAAGGGCCTCCGAATGTCATGTGTTTTACATCAAGGTAGAATTCCCGAGCACCCAATTCCGGAACTTCCTTCTACATACGCTTTTTATGTACAAAAATAAGGAAACGTAACAGCTTCATAATTGTAGTTGTAGGAAGACGCCGACAAATCTTTGATTTTTTGGAAAAATCAAGTTTTTAAATAACGTGAGATCTGCACTATTTTCTTAAACGTTCTTCAAACTATCCAACAACAAAATATCATCAAAATCGATAGAGCAGTTTTTAAGAAAAAATAACTGTTCAACAAAATTAAAAATTGACTCTACTTTACACAAAATTACGCAAAAAATATTCAAACTTGCGAAAAAATGTACACGACTTACTTCAAAACCTATCGTTAAGAAATAGGCTTTATTAAAGGAAAAATCTGTATCATTAATATTTTGGTTGTAGAAAAACGCTGAAACAAATTTGAAATTTTGCAATTTTCGAAACATCACAGTTTTCAACGAAAATGAGACATGCACCATTCTTGTGGAACAATGCTAAATAATAAATAACGTTTTCTACATATTAAACAGCAAAATATTTTCTCCACTTACCCACAATGTGATGGATTCGCCATAATTGTTCTGCAAATCGAAAAGTTGGTTTTGAGTTTAGAAAACGATAAGGTATTAACTAAAAGCAGTATAGCAACGAAAAATGTGAAAGTGAAATTATGACAAAATTATGAAAATACCGGGAAGATTACAAATGAATACAAAAATTGTATTAATCTTAAAGTTAATAAGATATCCGGTTAGCGTAGAAAAATGTTATATTAAAGGATGAATTTTTATATTTTGATGTAGGCAAATATTTAACGCATTTATTGAAAAGTGAATGCATTCTAAATCCCAGAATTATTGTGTAATACAATTTCTACTTGTGTTATACAATAATGAGAATTGAAAATACTGGTCGTGTATTTCCAACAGTACAGCCAAATAATCCTTGACATTTCCCCTCATCAATCTTTGTTACTTCTAAAAATATTGTATCACAATTTTGGATATGGTGAATTTTGTAATTCCTTTAAAGTGGCTAGGATTTCTCTCCGAGTACCTCCGCATTTTTGCATCTCTCCTGATGTTACATCACATCATGATTTCAGTGAGTGCACACACCGAGGAAATTTCCACTGTTTTTTGCCCGCAATTTGTCCCAGTATTTAATGCTTTGCCGAGAACGCATTTTCCTAAGACACTTGAGAACCTATAGTAATCGGTAGTTTCCGAGAACCATCCAGTTTTCTGCTATCGCTCAATGACGTTCTATTTCTCCAGAAATGAAGAAAACAATAAACGTTGAGATAATCGCACTTCATCGCCCCTTTCTGATTCTCACTTCTCGACTGATAATTCTGTTATCTTCATTTTGTGCGATATCAGGGGTAATAGCGGTTTTGTACAATAGTGGTGGATAACCGTTATGTTATTGGAGAATTCATATTGAAAATAAAGATTGTGACCTCGATGTTGGATTCCGAAAATTGTTAAGTGCAGAAGCAATTGGTCTGTTCGACCATTACATTCTTGCGTGATCTGAGTTCAGACCAGTGAAAGCAGCTTGGTTTCTATCTGTTTGTGATTTTGTATTTTAGTACGAAAGGATTGAATAATTTATGCTTCGGAATTATAATTATTGTCTTTTTAGCATAAGTTTTTTCTAAAACCGGTTAATAGGGAGAACATAGTCTAAATTGGACACTTTTTAATTACCATGCTCTTAATAGTCAATTTAAACAAAATATTTCCCAAACAATCTACACTTTCATTATAAAGTATGGAATATAAGTCGTTACACAAGATATAATAAATAAATTAGAAAAAAACAAATGTTTATTAAAAACAACATAAATACAATATATCCGGAAGATAAAGAAAAGAATAGTATTTTAGAATTTGTTATAAGAAGTTATAGTATTGTTGGGAAAATACATCGACAGCCTACTCCTGTGTTTAATTATTTCCACATATCATTCTTATGATCAAGATTATATGTAGAGACAATCAGTTGAATATTTTAAACTAGATTTTACGGCATCTATTGGACTGAAACTTAGTTTCTTTAATTCTCATGCTCTTCAAATCTTCTGCCTTGCCTTTCCGACTGATTCTTGATTGCCAAAGTTTTTACCGCCTTTTGTGATAGATGATAGTTGTATTTAGGATGCTTAAAGATAACTTGTAAATAATCATATATTGTAATAAATTGTAAATTATCATATATAATCATTGTAGTTCCATTGTTTCTTGGGCTTATTGGTAGAATCATCTGAAGGCGATTCTTCGTACTATTTTGCCTGAAGTGACGAAACAGTTCCTTTGAGTCGCTGTACCGTATTAAACGGCAACGGGCACCAAAATGTCCCATTTTTTGTGACAAAAACTAATTGACATAAAGTGCAATCAAAAAGTTTTAATTTATTCTAATTGTTTCCGTTCAATAATCAGAACCTTTTGATTCTGTGCGACATCCCAAGCAATCTCAATTCAGGGGCATGTGTCCTGTACTATCCCGTTTTTTTAGTGAAGAAAATGTCAAAATATTCCGGTTTTTGTGTTTTAAGATCTGGCCTCTCTAATTTTGTCCGATGTTATTTTGTGCGGCGATAGATGGCAGCTAGCAAGAGTACAAGGCAAGTCCGCACAGTTAGCCGAGATCAAAGAAAAAAGAAAACTAATACGGGAAAGTCTGTGCCAGTCTGTAACGCCACTAGTTACCTGTACTATATTAAATGAAACTGGACGCCAATTCCGAAACAATTCTATGACAATGATGTTACATTAATCACTCACCTAATATTTACATAGATGTGTCGGATCTTCTAAATCTCACCCCGCCTTCTTGTAGCGACAACAGAGGCTGTGCTAAGTTTAAACACGAGTCGTTCAAACCCAAATGATTATTCAGAGACCACCACGTCCACCTCACAGGTGGATTTATCTTTCCATCCAATCTTATCATTTTCTACGAGTATTTTTCGAACTGGAAGTGAGAATTCTACTCGACGGTTGCAGAATATAAAGACCAGAGTCCAAACCGATAATAGATTGAATGATCTGAACGTAATCTCGGGTAAGTGTACTAAAAGGTAGAAGATATCTCGTGCTGTTTTATGTTCATGCATGCTACTAGTATGCTGCTGCGTAGTATAAAGTTATGCAATGATGCAGTAGAAAAAGGGCGACCTTCCAGATTCCAGGCGATTTTCAAGATTCCAGATACCAAAAAACTCGTTTATTCTGGTTCCTATAATTGTACATTAGTACAATGGTAACAATTAGTAGAAAACATGGAAATGTAAGTTGAGCCTTTCCTTACCTGCTGTAA